GCCATTGGCTCAGAAAGTCATAATACCTGGATGAGAGTCCAGCAAAACAGCAGGGTGGATAAAGCAAGCAGCTCTTTAGAAATCCATTCATTGTGACTGAAGGTGAGCAGTGGAATGCTATTGAAGGCCACTTGTTTGAGAGACCTTTGGAAATATAGGACTTTGGCTCTTGGTAGCTTTTCTTCTCTTTTGTTGGACATAGTCTCCTCACTTGCATGAAATGTGAAATTTGGCCTCCCATGTGGTAGTGTCAGCTAAAAACTACCATGTGTTGTCAATTATCTTATGAGTACATAATAGAGAAAAATAAAATACTAATATACAATTTTTATCAAGAAAAGAGAGGTCACACATTTGACTATAAATGGAAAAGTCCCAATATGTTATAATATTGAAGAACATTAGTATCGGTTTCCATCTTGTAGTCTACTTGTTTAGCCAAGGTTGCTGTATTTCAAGATTTTTGAGCAAGTAAATTAAACAACAAAGTAAACACATACTGAGATGTCTTACAGGGCAGATTAGGTTTGTTACTTCTTGCAATGATAAAAAGACAATCTCCATTTCACTAAGTTTAGAGTATAAGTAATAGATTTAATGGCAGATCAGAAAGGATGGGAGCAGCAGGACTTTTGGGGAAAACAAACATCGATAAATAACTGCAAAAATCAAGGTTTAATGTAATCTATACAATATACAGAAGAAATGCATCCTGGATTCTGAAGGATGGTTATCACTAACCCCTTTTAGGGAAAGCTTCAGGGAGGGGAACAGAATGTGTAAAGTACACTAATGTGAGTCTGGAGACCCAGGGAAGCATTAGGTATCTGTGGCAATTTGTCTTTGCTGGTGAATGGTATCAATAGGGAAACAGGAGCAGTGTAGAAGAGCTTGCCCAGTGGCTTACCAGTTAAAATGTTTTCTTTCCCCAATTACATGGTACATAGATCATTAACTAATTAATTCCCAGTGGCAGTGCCTGAGACTGAAGCTGCAAGTTCCCTTATTCATCAACACTGCTAGGCCTCTAGTAGTCAGTCACCTGGTGGACTGCTGGCTTTGAGCGGGAGTGGCAGGGCAATGCTTTCTTTTTATTCTTCCTTCTTGAAATAATCCCTAGTCACTTTCATTCAGATCAGAAAATAAACTGCCCACACACCACTGAACTGGATCCAAAATGTACCAAAGGACTTAACCGCCATTGTCAGTGAGGAATTGAAGACAGAATCAACTAACTCCTCATTGCTTTTGACTGAAACGGGTAACTTCAATACTATAACATATTAGTAATACTGCTTTTAGGCATAAGGAAAATAAAATCATGAAGGCCACAAAAATAGTATCTCAAACAAAAATGCCCAAGTGTAGAGGCCAAAGGTGCTGTCTGCCAAGGTGTCTCACAACGTGTGGGAGCAAGTGCATAACATACCAAGACTCATGGAATTGTTTTACATTGGTGTCAGTGTTATGAAATAAAACATGATAAGGTTCCCATTCTTGGTGGATATGCATTCTAAATTCTTTTAAGTGATTTATGAACATTTAATTAGAGCATAATTATCTTGACTAATATTGTGAAATAGGGTATTTATAATCCCAGTGTTTAACAAAGTGCTTCATGGTTAGCCCTTTGCAAATACTTAACCTTCTTGTTCATGACATTTCACAATATCATTTCAGACTATAAAGAATCAACTAATATTTTCAATTCAATCACTCATAGATAATATTCAGTGGAAGATAAGTATTGCAGCTTGTACTTTGCCAGTGAGAAAATAAAACACATTTTGCAGTGCATTTCTGTATCAACTATACTTTTGTTTTTTGCAGAAAATATTTAGTTATTAAAATTAGAAAACCTAGATATGCTATCCTGCAGATTTGTATAGATTTGAATCTGTTATCATCTAAGTATGAAGATCATGCTTAGGGCTAGTTAAGCAAACCAGGACCTTCTTTTCTACTCACTATCATGGGAAACACAATAACTTCCAGTTTGTTTATATATTTAAAAATTTTATTTTATATGTATAAATCTTCTGCATGCACATATGTCTGTGTATCTTAGAGGCTGAAAGATGGCACTGGCTCCCCTGGAATTGGAGTTCTAGATGGCTATGAGTCATGATGTGGGTGACAGAATTGAACCTAGGTTCTCTGAAGAGCAGCAAGTACTCTTAACTGCTGCTCTCTCCAGTCCCAGTATGCTTATATTTTTATGGCTTCAATGAATTGAGAACCAAGTATTTTTCCTGGTGGACCATGGACCAGATCTGTTCTTTCTCTGAACAGGCAAAACCAAATTCCATGTACCATCTAAAGAGTCTAAGCAGTTATTGCTGAGCGTCTGTCATGCTACCACTGAGCACATTCAATGCTTGTCACTCACATGATATAGCATCATATAACATGGATGCTGAAGCAGACACTGGGAAGGTGCTTCAATGAGCGCTCAAAGAGAGCTTGAAATTAATGAAAAAAGTAGAACCTCTTAGCAGTGGAATAGAAGATACAAAGAAAAAGCCAATGAAAAACTTTGGATTGAAAAAAGTCTATTGTAGGATTACTGAACCCAAGACAATATCACTAGAAATTACACAGGCAAAAAGCTAATAAATTGCCAGTTCTACAACAAACCACCTTCCACTGGGTCAATGGGGTCCTAAAACAAAAGGAGAAATGGTCAGGCTGAGGAAGTATTTGAAGAAATAATGGAGGAAATTTTCCTAAATCTGGGAAAAAAAAAACAAACAAAAAACTCTGAAACTTTCAAGTTTAACAGTTCAGAAAGTTCCATCTAGAATAAACTGAAGATCCCCAGACAGAGATACATTATACCCATGCTCTGAAAAATAAAAACAAAATTGTGAAAGCAGTGAGAAACAAAAATATATTGTCAAGGACCTTAAATTTTTTATTTATTGTTTCTGCTTTTTAACTGAACCCAGCCCTTCTAACTAGCAGAACATTTATGTGACATAAAACATTGTGCCAAGCATCTGAGGGACACCGGTCAACCCTACTCCCCTAACTGGGGCCTGACAGCTACACTCTCTCCAAGCAAAGTGATGACTTGTACAACTGAAAAGAATCTGAGCTTGAGAACAAGCAAACAAACAAGCCAGAAAATTGTGATTGTTGATTCCTAGATGGGCTTTATCACTGCAAATTTTGTGAAACTAATCCGAAAATGTTACTGCGTATAGATATTATTTAGGAACAAAAAAATCAAAAGCATTTATCAGATTCTCAAAGGAGCTGACGATTAAGGTCCATCACATGGCTTTCTTTGTTATTTTGTGTGTGGTGTGTATATGTGTGTGCAAATGGAGGGCGGAGCACTGAGTTTTCATCAGTTGCTCTTATTTTTGGAGGCTGGACCTCTCACAGAACCTAGAACTCAATGAATTGGCTAAAGCGGCTGGCTATCCTGAAAGCCCCCGGGATCCACCTGTCTCTATACCTGGAGTGGGGATTTTCTGCAGTGCTGCTGCATCAGGTTCTTCGATGCATGTTAAGTTTTCATACTTGTACAGCAAGCAATCACTGTTCTCAAGGACGCCATCTCCCCAGGCCAGGTTTCTGTCTTTAGGCAATGAAGCTGGGTTTTTTCTTACATTAAACAATAATTATTTAGTGTCATGTCAGAAGTTGGGAGTGTGACCATGTATCACGGAACCTGTATGGAGACAATGTTGTCACTTGTGGGAGTTGCTTCTCCCCTTCCACTATGAGAATACTGAGCATCCTGCTCAGGTCATCAGTCAATGCTAGCACCTTTACCTACTGAGTCATCTCCTTGGCCCAGAGGAGCTATTTTTAGCCCCACCCCAACCCCCGACAAACACACCTCTACTTTTAAGGATAAAATAGGAAATGACAGTTTTTGAAAACATTCTTTAGAGTACTTTTGGAAACACACTGTCAGTGAAGACAGTTTTCCTGTAGTCTTATTTTGAATGTGCTAAAAATAGTACCTGGAGGTAACTAAACGACTGGGACTTAAAATATGCTTTACATTAGATTTTTCCCATCCATCGGAAAAGCTGAGACCTGCAGGGAAGAGAGCAGGCGCTCTAAATCAGCTCCAATGAGCCTGTGTACCAAGATGACACCTGCCCTGCCACGGGTAGCATTCCTTTCTCCTGAACAAGCTCAAACAAGTTCCAGTAACTGCCAATTTACACAGGTAGAGACTGCTGGCGTCTTCTCTGGTGAAAAAGAAAACACATTAAAAAACAGTACACTTATCCGGTTTCTGCATCTCTGTAACATAAGCACTCCTCACTACCTTTTACTGGTAACTAAAACTCTCAGGGAAGCCACATCTGTTGACTTGTGGAAAGGTTTTATATTTGCCACAGCCTGTTTCCCGGCAGGAGTCAAGGCTCTCATGGTTATCTGGAGATTAGCCCATTCATTTTTGGGAACAACTTGATCATCTACTTTCTTTGAAAGCACAGATTAGTTTGATTCCCTGAGACTATTTCATCCCAGCTGAATCTTCCAAATCAAATGAAGGCCAGAAGACCTTAGACAAGCATGGAGCTTCAGGGCTCCACTCCCCCTCTTGCTATGCAACCCAGACTTAGGAGCTGAAATGTTACTTGAAACATAAGGACCTGAAGTGATTCCTGACTTCTAACATGTTTGAGCAGGTTTTCTCGAACCTATAATAACATTCAAAATACAGATTTTTAACCCCAAATATCTGTCCAAGGTCCCAAGATGTGTATTTAAATCCTCTGTAGTTTGCTGGCTATGTTGGCTATGGGGATTTTTTAAATTACTAGGGCAAAGAAGGTATGTCCATTTAGCTGGTGTATAAATCAATGCAGGCCAATACATTTCCTTTTGTATTAATAGATTTTCTACCAGAGGCCTTTCCTATCTCAGACGTCCATTTCTCACCCACTGTGATATGTTAAGGTAACCAGGCTTTTTCTATCTTGTAAATAACTAGTCCACACGTAGATACAAGCAAACCAAAATAAACAGACTTATGGCATAATGGACATGTATTTGATATAGTACTTCTCACAAAGGAGCTGTTACTCCATTAATATAAAGTTATTTTTTTAACAAATATCTCTTCATTTTAGTATTAGATATGTTCAGTACGTTTTAGTTAAACTTTTTCTTAGACATAAAAGTTTCAAATTTTGGCTATTTAATACAGAATCACCTAGGGAGATAAAAACAGAACAACAACAACAAATATGGAGAGAAAGATTTCCCCCAGAATTCAAGAGGCAGTGATTAATACAGCAACAATGTCGATTTACTAGATTCTGAGCAAATACTTCCTTCTTCCAATTTCACATGCTTTAACAACTTAGAAGTACAAAATAATACTTAGGCAAATTTAAGCCCGCTTTGACCCCCTTCCCAAGCAGCAAATACAAATTATAGGCCATGTTATTAATGCACTCTCTGCTGTAAAGAGCCCCCACTCCCACCCGACCCATCCACTCCCATCTTAGGAGAAACTTCCAAGAATGTGAAACCATCCTCTTCTTGCTGGGAACAGGAGAGATCAAACCTTGGGTCTGGCCTCAATAGCACAATGGTTTTCAGTGTGGTCAGGGTGAAGTCTAGCTCCGAAGAGTCCTTCAGAGTCACATCTGTCCGTTTCGCTTTCTTGCGTATATCCCCAAGCAAGCACAAATGCCCGTGATGCTGAGAACCACCCCTAACAAGAGCGCAATGGCATCTCCGGCTTCTACTGCTTCAACACCAGGCACAATCAGGAGCAGTGAAGTGAGGATTAAGATCAGCTGTGTTGAAACCGAATTCATCTTGTTGGGATCTTGAGGGCTGACTTTTGCTAGAAACTAAACATGGAAACGGAAGAAACTGTTAAAAAGCCTTAGTTTTTGGAACGACCATATAAATAGGCCATCTTTTAAACTGGAGTTTGTGAGTCATTTCAGAGTTTGCCCATTTTACACATTACAACGACTAAAAAAGTGTACTTAAGGACAGTCATTTTAGGTGAATCTCATGGCATCACCCTAGCTCTAGAAATTTCAACAGTAATTCGAACAGGATATGCACCGGCCAAACTGAAACTGGACAGCTGGACATCATTAACAAGAGAGGAAAAAGATGCATGTGACACTTGTAAATAGAAGTTACACTAACAAGTAAATAAAAAAAAATATTTTTTAGCACGTCTCCTATTTATGTACAAAAATCTGATAAAAGTCAAACAGCACAACCCGCTGCTCTGTGAACTTGCCAGGAATTAATACGACTTACCTAAACAAGAGCGTAGGTAAAATTCTATCCAATGTGCAAACAGTTCCTCTTTGGAGCTCCGGGTCCCGAGGCTAAGAGGTTACCCGCGGCACCCCTATTAGGGTGGGAAGAAAATTTAAACATTATGTTAGAGAGGAAGCTACAGCCGGTGAGGGGCGGATGCAAGGCCAGAAACGCCCCTCCCAACAGTTCGTTCAGAAAGAGACTACCACATTTAAAGTTAGTTCTCACACACAGAGAAACCTAAACGAAACCCATCTGAGAAGCAAACTCGTCCCAATATCTGACACAAAGACCTGGGGAAAGAATTGTTCGTTTGTCCCGGGAGGGCTCAAATTTGCAGCGTTTGACAACCACACGGGGCTAATCAAACAGGGAATCCCCGGGACTGGAGTTCCTACGCTACCTGACCGGAAAGCAGCCATTACAGGAATGGCGAGCAGGGCGGCGTCGCCAGACTACATTTCCCATAATCCCCGCTGCCTACTCCCGTCATGCACGGCTCTCTGATCACTGGCTGAGGAACAGACGCCCCAGCTCCTGCGAGCTGTGCGGTTTTCCCCATGTCCCCCTTGTGTTTTACTGTTAATGAGAGGTGGAGTGCTCGTTCAAGTAAAGGTTTAGTGAGTTCGTGTTAAGACCAATGAAACAACAGCACGTGTTTTCTGGCCCTTTCAGGGTTCCTAGATGCATAAAAATATGTCTTTTTGGTACTCTGAAATAAATTGGTAACTGGAGAGAGAGCTGAGTAGAGCCATCTGTTTGGGATGCTTTCAAACTGCAGGCCTTCCAACATTTCTGCAAATATTGCAAATGTGCCTAATGACATTTGCTAATTTTTAAAAAAAAAGTCAATGGGGAGGGGGCATAAGCACATTTTACCAGAAACTTTGGAAAATATTGAATCATTTGTGGTGCAAAACAAGTTTAGAAAATATGGTTTCAGCCCTATAACCAGATCTTTTCTGATTTGAGTTCGTGTCTCTCAGAACGCTCATTCTCAAAAGCCCAGTATTTTAAGATGTCAAATTAGTACTCTAATTACAAGAATTATTCGTTTGCATCTGTAAGTGTTAACTTTGAAAGGTGTTTGAATTCTGTTATCTGTGATACCCTTACTGAATGTTTCTTTCTAGTCTGGCCTGAGAGCTTTCATACTGAGTGACAATTTGTCACCTTCCTATTGTAACCATGCAGAATTAGAGGTGATTGCACTTGTCCTGATAAGACCAGGAAGGTACTATGGACACATTCAGTTCCGTGTTGAAAACCGAGCATGCATTCTTGTGTGGTGGGATCCCTTCAAACACAGTTGTGTCTTTCTATAGACAGCAAAGATTTATACTTCTGGCTCCTGATATACACATCTGGCAGGTGCTTTAGTAACATTAGTTGATAATAATTATTTGATAAGATAAATATGCCAAGATTTTACAGGAGAACCAGAAGTGTCAAATGCACTTAAATCAAGGTGTCTGACAGGTTGACAGTACTGTTTCTTTAAAGTTGATTAACAAATTCTCTCTAATTGCATTTGCCTTATGCTACATTTGGCTATGTATCTTCTTATCAATTAGTTTTGGAACTGAACCTATTTTGTGGCTTTCAAAATATCCTTCTATATTCTAATGTTTTCATTTGGGAGTTTTTTTTTTTCCTGGTATGTTTATTTCAGCTAGTGGAAGTCTGAAGACTAAAGTTAGTGCTGGTACACACATTGTTCCTGAGTTTGCTAACATTTCTTGATTAATTTTAAGTTTGAAGAGTCTGTCAATTAAGCTAGTGTAGTCAGGAATTAACTAATGATCTGGCCTGTCTGTAAAAGAAAGGTGCAAATTTGTGTAGAGACTTTTTTTTTGGGAAAGTGCTTAAAATTTTCTAGTTAGTGCTCACATCCTTAGCAGAAATCTAAGCCATTTTTTGATACATCACTTTCAGATTAGATGATGTTAGAATTCTAGTTTTTCTTTTCATTCTAAATAGTCTGCTTTTCTTTTAATGGTAATTTACTCCTTTGCTTAAAACCTCCAGTTCCATCGTATTAGACAAAAGCCCAAGTTACTTGTCAAGACACAAACACCAGTACTTCTCCACTTGCCTCTGATGCCAGACCACCACTCACACCTTCTTTCCATTCTGCTCACATTTAATATTTCACTGTTTTATAAAGAAGCTAATTTGTTTTCCTCTATTGAGATTTTGCCCTTCCTGTTTTTTCTGCCAGTGATATTTCCAACAAATTTTTTCATAGTTATTCGTAACATCATTCAGGGCCCAGAGCATTGTTCAAACTTCACTTCTGTCTCTAATTATCTCACTGAAAACAAAACACAAACCTAATCAAAATGACCCACTATATTAGGTAGGTAAACAAATAAGCTCAAGTAAAAATACCAGGCAAGGTAGAAGTATTTTCACATGGTTCCTGATTAAGTTTCCAACAATTAGAATAGTACGCTGTGTAGTAGATACTTAGTAGTTATTTTGTGAATGAATGAATAAAGGTAGTATAATACCATAATGCTATTAATGTTTAGTCACTTTTTCTGTTTATTGTAGTATCTTACAAGTAAAAAGTTCGCTTTTGGACTAATATAGGATGATGCTCAGGCTGATGTTATTTTAAATCATCATTCAAAGTTTGTTATCCTATGTCTTTTCTGTGTAGCCTTATTAGTAATAAGACTTCTCTGTGACTATAAGATGCAATATAATCTGAAACAGGAGCCTAAATATAATGTTCTATACTTACTTTCACTGCTCAGATTCTTAAATATATTCATTGAGGCCACTTAGATCACTACATTAAACATTTAGAGTGACAGAATTCAGAATTTAGTTTTTCAGTTTGAGAATTCTAAGCTAATACCATTCCCACTAAAATAGAGAACACTGGTAGCCAGTGATAGGACAAAGAACACTGCATAAACCACTTATCTCAGCAGTGGAAAGCAAATTTCCCAATCAGCCGTTACTAAGAAACAATATTAAAGAAGAAAGGAGAAGTGGTTTCTGCTTATTTTATAACCATTAGAAATGAGTCACTGATAGGCCCTGAAGGGAAAGAGCCTCTGGGATCCATCAGAGGAGGCAGAATGTGCCTACACGAGGATTTTAGCAGTGAATCGTGGGTGTCAGGGAATTCATAAAACCCAGACTTCCTCATTAGCAGTTGAGCCAAACCAAGGGAGTGGAAACATGTTAGTGAAATTTCACAAGTAAAAAGGACTAACCCAGAGCTAGTCAGTATTTCTCATCAATAATGGATACTTGTCACTGAGAACATTGTGCTGGGATAATTAAGCATTAGAATAACCAGAGACAATAAATTATATTTTCTAAAGCTAAGCAGTTGGTCAAAACAAAACAAAATGCAATGAACCAATTGCAGAACCTGCTGAGTCTCAATTCCTCTTGTAGTTTACAGAGGCATATGTAAGCTTAAATAGTCATTTGGGTCTTACAATTTTTCCACCTCCTCTTCTGCAAAGTTTCCTGTGCTGCAGGAAGGGATTTTATGGAAACATAACATTTAGGACTGAGGGTTCAAGGTTTTTTACTCTCAGCACATATTCCAGTTATGGATCTCTGTATTTCTTCCTATCTACTCCAGAAGGATGCTTGCTTCTGTGATGGTGGCTGAGCAACATGCTGAGATCTGTGAGGATAGCAGAAAGTCATTAGGAATCATTTTATTGTTGTCCTTTGAAATAACGGTAGTGTTTGGTTTTTCGTTAGGTCCCTGGCCTATGTATTCTCAGGTTCTCGGCCACTCAAGCAGTGTCAAGTACGGGTTCCATCTCATGGAGTGGGCTTCAAATCCATTATCAGATAGTAATTGTTCTCTTCCACAATGTGCAACTATTGCACCAGTGCATTATACAAGCATGCATATATATGTATTTATGCCTGTGTGTGTGTGTGTGTGTGTGTGTGTGTGTGTGTGTGTGTGTGTGTATGTGTGCATGTGCGCGCGCACACACATGCATGAGTGGTGAGTCAATGTTAGCATTCACCTGGTTTATTTTGAGTAAAATTTAACACATGCATATAAAATGCTTTAAAAATTAGGTATGACTAATTTGGACATGAATAAATACAATCAAACATGGATCATGATTAGTTTCCAAATTCTCAACTATCATAAAATTGCCACATTGATGTATGATACAGAACCCATAAAATATAAAGACCTTTTGGAAAGCTTTGTAGGAGGACTGGAGCTACAGCTAGTCTCTGCAAAAACAGGAGGCTGTGAGCAATATAGTGTGTGCAGTTTATAAAGAAATATTAAGTCTTCACTATAGACCAGGTGCTCATTATGATTAAGAGCTGGTAACCATGGAGACAGACAGCATGAAATTTATAAAATTAAAAACATAGAGGAAAGAAAGTGCAAATAGCATAGGAGAGTGAATCATGACCAAATGGTCTTAGTTTAGTTTCCTTAACCCCAAAGACCCCTGAAATCTGACTTTTATTTTGTGCAGAGAATTATTCAGTTTTGAAACACCACTTTGGTTATCTTCTGTTTGGTTATGACATGTCACTCACCTGATCAGTGTTTCATCTGGACCCAATTTGGAGATGCTGAAATGCATTATGACAATGAACTTGACTTAAATGTGCTAACCTCATATTATGCGAATTTAAAACAGTTATGATTAAAAATTTGCCTCCTTTGAAAAACAGTTTTCCTCAAGGAAGTTGTCAGCTTTTCTATTAGCAAATTTCTACATTTTAAAGGTGGACTAGGTGATGTCTATGAAAATGATGGTGGTTGCTACCACAAGGAGAAAGTGCCATGCAGCACTATTCCTTTTCATTTGTTTGTGATATGGACTCATTTGAATGCATTCTAAGCTCTCACTTCTCGGGAGAGTCAAAATGAGTAGTTACCTTCCGCCTTACAGTCTGCTTAAGGCCCTGCATTGTGATCCTATCTGTCCACACTATGGAGTGAAAGGGAATGAAGTGTGCAAGGTCAGCACAGGGACACGATCCTTTCATCTCCTTAGTGAGACCCTTGGTAGGATATCCTGTCTACCTTCATTCACCAGACATTAAATAGATTTATAGAGACAGCATGGGCCACAGGGAAGAGTGACAGAGTCTATTCAAGGTATCCACAATTGGTATGTTCTGAGATCATTTGAATCCTAGTTATAAGGGGAGCTCATTTTATTTTATTTTTTTAAGATATAGTACTTTATAAAGTATTCTCCAAGGAGTTTTTACATTCATCTGATATTTGAAATTTTGCCTTTGGGGAAAACCAGTTTACCCTGGGAGATTTTATTTTTTTTAGGAAGTGGGTTTCTAGAAACAATTGAAAGATGTTTATTAGCTTAATTAATCATAATTTTTTTGGTAAGGCCCAAATAGGCATTAACCATCCAAGGACCATTTTTTTAGTTGATGAAGTAGCAAAAATAAGTGCTTCATACTGATTTGTACAGGAATCAAATGGTATTTTTCTGTTTTCATTCTTAGACTTTCCTCTGTGATGCTTCCTTTTTCTAAGTCTGAAGCCA